CAATAATAAAAGGGGGAGTGTAGCAGAGTGTGAACAAGAAAGTAGTTTAGTAAAGTGTGAACAATAACAAGAAGGAATTTTAGTAGAGTGTAAACAATAACAAATAGGGGAGTGCAGCAGAGTGTGAACAATAGCAAGAAAGAAGTTTAGTGAATTGTGAACAATATCAAATAAGGGAGTGCAGCAGAATGCGAACAATAACAAAAAGGAAGTGTAGTTGAGTTTGAACAATAAGAAGAAGAAAGTTTAGTAGAGTGTGAAAAGTAACAAATTGGGAAGTGTAGCAGAGTATGAACAATAACATTAAGGAAGTTTAAAGTTTAGTAAATTGTGAAAAATAACAAGAAGGCAGTTTAGTAGAGTATGAAAAATAACAAGAAGGAAGTTTGGTAGAGTGTGAACAATAACACGAAGGCAGTTTAGTAGAGTGTGAACAATAAAAAGAAGGAAGTTTAATAGAGTGTGAACAATAACAAGAAGGAGGTTTGGTAGAATGTGAACAATAACAAATAGGGGAGTGTAACAGAGTGTGAACAATAACAAGAAGGAAGTTTAGTAGAGTGAACAATAAATGAAATAAAATGAAATGAATGGAGTTTTACGTCCTACTTTTCTGCACCTTGTGGGCTAATGAAGACGGGCAACGCCATGCAGGGTGCCATGAGGGAAATTTTGCCAGGACAGCGGCATTAGCCTGCTCTTTTTCGATTTCCAACTGTCGAGGGATCTTTAACGTGCACAGCCTGTAGCACATGAGGCCTCGGTTTATTGTCCCACCCGAACGACTAGACGCTTTTTCCATGTCAACCCCTCTTACCTGCATCACTGACAGGTGGAAACCGGGTTGAAAAATCCGAAGGTATTATCTCAACCTATGCCGGGATTGAACCCTGGACCTTCAGGTTAGCGAGCAAGCGTCTAACTTACTGAGCCACCGCGTCTCCCAGAGTGAACAATAATAAGAGGGATTTTTAATAGAGTGTGAACAGTAACAAACAGGGGAGTGCAGCAGAGTGTGAACAATAGCAAGAAAGGAGTCCCCATTTTAATCTGTCTCTTTCTCTATACCAGTTTTCTGAACTGTCTATCTAAGTTACAATCTGTTCTCCCCCTACTTCACACTTCCTGTCTCGTTGCCGATTTTCTGCTCGTTCATCTTTACTTCCCTCTCCACCCACTTGCCCGTTTCAGTTCCCTCTCTCTTCGTCCTTTGTCACTCTTAATCAACTCCCTTCTTGTTATTGTTCACACTCTACTAAAATTCCTTCTTGTTATTGTTCACACTCTGCTACACTCCCTTATTTGTTTTTGTTCACACATTACTAAACTTCCTTCTTGTTATTGTTCACTCTACTAAACTTCCTTCTTGTTATTGTTCACACTCTTCTGCACTTCCCACTTATTGTTCACAACTTCGTTCCTGTTATCGTTCACAATCTGATACACTCCCATATTTGTTATTGTTCACACTCTACTACGCCTCCTTCTTGTTATTGTTAACAATGCACTCCCCTATTTGTTATTATTCACAATTTACAAAACTTTCTTTTGTTATTGTTCACACTCTACTAAACTTCCTTCTTGTAATTGTTCCCACTCTGCTACACTTCCCTAATTGTTATTGTTTACACTCTACTAAACTTCCTTTTTTGTTATTGTTCAGCATCTGCTACACTCCCCTATTTGTTATCGTTAACAATTTACTAAACTCCCTTTTTTGTTATTGTTCAGCATCTGCTACACTTCCCTTATTGTTATCGTTTACACTCTACTAAACTTCCTTTTTTGTTATATTTTCACACATATTGTTGACACTCTGCTACACTCCCCTATTTGTTCTTGTTTACACTGTACTAAACTTCCTTCTTGTTATTTTTCACTCTACTAAACTCCTTTCTTGTTATTGTTCACACTCTGCTACACTCCCATATTTGTTATTGTTCACACTCTACTAAACTTTCTTCTTGTTATTGTTCAGCCTCTGCTACACTTCCCTATTTGTTATCGTTCACAATTTACTAGAACTTCGTTCTTGTTATTTTCCACACTCTAGTACACTTCGTTTTTGTTATTGTTCACACTCTGCTGCACTCCCCTATTTGTTATTGTTCACAATTTACTAAACTTCATTCATGTTATTGTTCACACTCTGCAAAGCTTGCCTATTTGTTATTGTTCATACTCTAATAAACTTTCTTCTTGTTATTGTTTACACTCTAGTAAACTTTCTTCTTGTTATTTGTTCACACTCTACTAAAATTCCTTTTTGTTATTGTTCACACTCTGCTACACTCCCCTATTTGCTATTATTTACACTCTGCTACACTCCCCTATTGTTATTGTTCACATTGTACTACAGTGTCCTATTTGTTATTGTTTACACTCTACTAAACTTCCTTCTTGTTATTGTCCATTTTCTGCTACACTTCCTTATTTGTTATTGTTCACTAAACTTCCTATTTCGTATTGTTCACACTCTGCTACACTTCCCTATTTGTTAATTTCGGGGAAGGGAGGGTTTGATTCTCCCAAATGTACAGGCCTAGGGTGGAGCAGACACTTTATTTAGAAATTAGGATTAAGGGTCTTGATATTGGGTTTTCTTCTGTTCTTATTCTGATCTGAAAATAGAAAAAATAACTCGCCCGGTGGGCGAGAAGTATAGTATCTGTTATGTACTGATTGTTTTTAGTTTACTATGAACAATATTATCATTTAAGTTCTTATTTTTTGAATATGTAACTATCATTTTCTGCTTATAGACATGGGGGAATTTCTCTTGAAGGCTCTTATAGTGGGCATGAACTATCTTGCTTGCTCGATTGCTGGTTGTATTAAACGGGACAACAAAGGGTGCAATGCCTACATTATGATGAATATTTAGTCCTATAGGTCTTGCTGTATTCAATGTCTCAATCCAATGGGCCTCCCTAGATTGTCGGAATTTGATAGTTTCATCTTCGGGCAAGTCAATTTCTATACGCTCAATTGGGATTAGGGTGAGATCGTCTATTGAATGGTCGTCGAGGTTGAAATGATTAGAAACAGGCTTGTCTTTCTTTAATTTGATGTCTGACCTATGAGCATTAAAGCGAGTTCGTAAATTATTCTTAGTTTCTCCTACATATTGTTTGGGGCATTTCTTGCATGAAATTAAATATATTACATTCGAATGTTCACATGTTAGATGTTCCTGGATCGGGTACCTTTTATTCGTAGAGTTGCTTACAAAATAATGAGTTTCTGATATAAAGGGACATGTGGACAAACATGGAGCACTTCTTAAACCTGGAGGTACTTCGGCATAAAGTCTGTTTTTAGCTGCTATCTGTGCTAAGGTGGAATTTTTTATGTTTCGTAAAAATCGTTTAGAGTACCCACGCTCTTTCAGTTTTGAGAAAACAATCGTACAGGCTTGGTTGAAATCAGAAGATCTTGTACAAATTCGATGAAATCGTAAAACTTGTGACTTAATTATACCAGAAAAGGTATGTTTTGGGTGAAAGGAGCTCTTGTGCAAGAGTTGATGAGTATCAGTTTCTTTGAAATACACTTTAATATCCAGTTTATTTGTTTCTGCTATGGAATCTCCCTTAAAGACTGTGGTATCGAGAAAGTCTATGCTTTTGTCACTCACGTTTGCGGTTAGTTTGATAGGAGGATGGTGGTTGTTGAGAATTTCAAAGAATTCCCAAAACTGTTCGATAGAATAAGTCCAAACCATAAAAATGTCATCCAAAAAGCGTCCGTAAAAAGTGGGTCAAATGGACAGAGGGACAACAACTCACGTTCCCACTCTGCCATGAAAAGGTTTGCGTACGAAGGGGCGAATCGTTTGCCCATTGCTGTCCCTGAAGTTTGTAAATATGTTTTACCATTAAATGTGAAATCGTTTCGACTAAGACAAATCTCTAAAAGCTGTAGAATTGCATCGTCGGGTCTGTTTGGATCTGGGTTTCTATTAAAAGCTTTACGAACTGCCGTTAAACCAGTAGTGTTATCGATATTGGTATACATAGAAGAAACGTCGATAGAAATTAAAATAGCATTAGAGGGAACTCGAAGATTTTTTATTTTATTGACAAAATCGGTTGTGTCTTTAAGGTAGGCGCGATGTTGGCATGCTAGAGGTAGTAAGAAATGATCAATGTATTCTGACACTGCATATGACTCACTACCACAGTCAGATATAATCGGGCGGCCTTTAGGGATTTTATTCGAGATAAACCACTCCTTGGTTGGATTCTTATGGATTTTAGGCAAAGTGTACAAATGTCTCTCGCGACAATCAGGTTTGGCAGACAGATAGTCATATTGTTTCTGTTTGAGATAACTAGTTTTGACTAAATCGGCAAGAATATTATTAATCATGTTAGCAGTT